TTAATTGAAAAGATTTTAGACATGAAAAATGATAGACTTCCAAAAATATGTATATTGAGACTTATATTTTTATCAAAATCTGAAAACGCTAAATTTAAATACAATTGGTGTAAACAAATTGAGAGAATGTTTGAATTCATAGGTGAAAAAATTGTGTGGAGTGTGCAATATATAAGAGAGAATAAAGAGAGATTAGTAAAAACATACGAAATTTTTCTTCGCGCCGAAGATGTTAACTCACTAACAGTTTCGCGATCTCTGCAACTACTCCCACATCTTACTTTAACTGAAGGAACACAAAAATATTTAAAACTAAATATTCCATTAACATTTATTAAAATCATAGCTCAAATTAGATTAATAAATAATCATAATATAAGGATCATATATAAAGATAGAGTTTTAAAAATTAATAGTGGATATTGCTGTGGAGATTGCGAACTGAAGGGGAAAGAATTATATCATGTTTTGATTGAATGTGAAATAGGACGAAATCTTAGGAAGCAATATTTATGTGAAAGCGAAGATCACTTGATTTTAAAAGATACTCTCTACAACGTATTGGATTATCCTCAAGCAGAAACTATAAAATCATTAACCTATTTTGTAATAAAAATATTAGAAAAAATCGGATAAATAGAATGAGTGTTTAATAAGGATGTATTATCGATTAATCTTCAATGTAACTCTTTGTATGAATCTGTGATTCAAAACAAATAAACTTATATATATTATTAAAAATTTTGATAAAATTCTTCATAAAATTTCAATTTTAAAAAATATTTGATTTTTTAATAAATCGTCTATTTTTGTATTAAAATAATTGAATTCTCAAAGAATTTTTGTAATAAAAATTGATTAAAAAAATAAATTTCACTTCAAATTTTCGATTATAATTGAATATTAAAAGCATTATGGCTTGTATTTTTGGAAATAATTGAATTTTAAAATTAATTTTTTTGAAAAAGTTTAATTGTGGATTTTTTTTTGAAATTATTTGAAGTTTTTGTTTTCTAATATTTCAAAAATTATTAAAAATAATTGATTTAAAGAAGAATTTTTGTTAAAAATTCTGGAAAATAATAATTGAATTTTGAAGAAGTTTCAATTAAAATCTTTGGAGATCAAAATTTTTCGTACTTTTAACTAATTAATTGATACAAAAGAAGAATTTTAGTTGAAAATTCTAGAAAATAATAAATAATTCAATAAATAATTAAATTTAAATGATGAAAACAACTTTGAAAAAGTTAGAGTAACAATATTCTTTTATAAAATAATAATTTTATCACTGTGTTATTTTTAATTAATATAAAACGAAGACTCGGAGTGATCGATTTCTTCATGTTTTATAACAATTTTTTATAAGTTATTTAATTTCAAAAAGGTTTGAATTTAAATCTTTTGAAGAATTTTAATTCCTATGAAAAAATAATAATGATGAAATATTTATTTAAAAATAGAAGTTAACAATGTTTCCGAATTTGTAAATTGTTTTCCGACGAAAGCAAATGTAAAATTCTATCGAGCACAATTAAAGGATAGCAGTAAAAAAAATCTTATCGAGAAAGAATGAGAAACTAAACCCTAATTTATGCAGCGTTAAATTAGTAAAGTGTATTTTTCTTGAAACAAGATTTAAATCACATGTCCTTCCACTTTACAAATATTAATTATGTAGATATATACAGCATTATGTTCCACTGTGCATAGTGTTTAATGAATGCTCTGATTTTCTTCTAACGGCATTACTATATAGTATATATACATGTGCGTGCACCGAATCATCAAAATTACTCTTCAATGTATCTTGAGAAAAAAACAACCTGTTAAACATCAAGTAGTAATTAAATTTTAATATTTTAATATTTCTACCATTTTTAGGGAAAACATTTTCCATTTGCGTTATAAATATAATACTTTTTTCACTGTATATACAACGTTCAAATGTTTTCTCCGAGTTTTCTTTTTCTCTCTCCTTTTTTTTAAATAACATTTCTTAGTTTTTCCCCGTGAAAAGTGGAAGGAAACTGTAAAGTTTTTCAACTTCTATAACAACTTTACTAGCACCATGGCCACATTTTATTTCTTTAGACTTATATTGCAAGATTTAGAAACTCGTATTTTTTCAACTTTTTTCCAATTTAAGAACGTTTTATTGATTCATGTGTTTTAATATACAATTTTGCATATCTCATCATGTGAATATCATTTGGACATTAATTTTATACTATACCCGATTATATTATATTTAATTATATCATTGAAAGTATAATTAAATTAGTAATTAAATTATATGTTCATACAATATTGTATATTATTTGGCGGCTTTTATATTTGTTTTCATTTTTATTAAATTTAAAAAATATTTAAACGATTTTTTTAAACTCAATATGTATTTTCTAGTAAAATGTTTCATATCCGTTAAAAATCTCCGTGAAAATTGACGTTGTGACACTATAAGGTAAATAATTTTCAATTAAACATAAATTCATAATTATTAATGGACATGAGTGTGCTATTTAACCTAACGAATTAAATTGATGTCATTAAAGTAATTTTTTTTCATAACGCGGTGCAAAAAAGGGCACTTTTTTGCACCTTGTTATGAAAAATATCGTTCGTAACTAGTGCGAGCAGTTGCCAATTTTTGAACGAGCGAAGCTTCGCCTACAGTTTGTAAAAAAAGTGCTCATTCAAAAATTGACAACTACTCGCACTCGTTACGAAATATACTAATTTTACACTGAGAAAACTGGAGTATTGGACTAAACATCTGGAGGGACAAATCGTTGATATTTGAGAGTTAGCTATTGGATAACAATCTAAATGTTCAAATACACCATTGACAGATATTCGTGCCATTTCTCTAACAGAGGGACAAATTAACCATCTTGAGAAATCCCTTCCTTATCAGGCGCGAAATGAATAAATATGGCAACCTAACCCCTAAATTAAATACATAAAATGTCAGAAAAATAATTTCGCGCGCATCAGATCGTACACATTTTCTGCGCAACTTTTAATCCTCAGATATAATGGGAGAGAATATACAAGTAGATTTCCATTATCAATTCAAAATTTATTTTAGAAGGATTATTTAACTCTCTTCATAAGCAAAGGAAACATACACTTTTTGAACCTCTGAATTTGACTCTCCAGTTTTCTCAGTGTATGCACAACTGCTGTTTATAGAATTTTATGAAATCCTTTCAGACATTTATTTTTAAGTCCATTAATTATTCTTATTCAATATGCGTGGTTATTTTAAGGGAAATAATTTAATTTTCCACAATTATTATTCTATTCATTATTGTTCTATTTTAGGTTCTATTTTATATTCTATAAATACATTTTAGGATTTAAAATTTTTATTAGCCACAAAGTAGTGTTGGCATATTTTTGACTGTTCTAAAGGTTAAAGAGAAAAGAGCAAACAAATCTTTACTTGGTATATGTTTATATTTATAGAACTTTTACATGTAATCAAATCAGTAATTGATAAATGTCCAAAGTCAAAGATAAAATCAATAATCGTAGTCTCTAATTTGAAACGTGCATTTTATCTTGACCTTTATGCTTTACTTTCTAGTTAACTGCAAATAGTGCAATTATAAATAGACATTGAACTTAAAGCAATAACTTATGTTAAATATATACCGAACTTATTATATTTAAGTAAATAGACTGAAAATAAATTTTTCGATTCCAAATTACGGATTACTTGTCTATTGTCAAATATATATTTACTTGAATCGAATAATTTTTATTTAGTTCGAAAAATTTTTATTTATATCAAGCAATTTTTATACTTAGTTTCAAAAAGTTTTGTTTAAGCCCAGGAATTTTTATTTAAAACAAACAATTTTTATACTTAATTCCAAAAAGTTTTGTTTAAATCCTGGAATTTTTATTGAACTCAAATAAATTTTATTAACATAATTACAGTATTAGAAATAATTAATTTCTTCTCCGAAATTCAATTATTTTCAAAAATTTTCCTCAATTCAATGATTTTTAATAGGTAGCTACTATTCTAATAAAATTTTCCAAAAATTCAATTACTTAAAAAAAAATTTAATAAAATTCTATCGCAAACTTTTAATTATTTTCAAAAAATAATAAAAATTTCACAGGAATTTCATTATTTACAAATTTTTTTTATAAATTTGTTCGCAATCATAGAATTACAATATTATAATCGTTTATTTCAAGCAAATAAATTTTATTCTTAGTGTAAAATAAATTCTTTAAAGTCTCTAAAATAATTAAATTATCTTTGTAATAAATAATTAAAAAAGAAATTTTTTCATCAAAAGTAAGGAATTTGTTAAATATATCTGGAAAACAAATCTAATAGATCGTTTTTTTTTTACTAAAGCTTATAAAAATCAGCGCTAGAGACGGCCAGTGTAAAATATACTTAGCGCTCCAATAATGGAAAGTAAACAAAGAAAAGAACTAAGAGAGCGATAGGTAGATAATGAAATGCTTGGTAAAATAATTATTATCGGAATGTTTGCCCTCAAAGAATAGGATTTTCTTTGAATTTCCTTTTTTATTTTGTGTCACTATTGTAGGTCATCCTATAGTCAGGCATTGATCTCAGGTCCGATGCTAAAAAAAAAAGTAATAGATTGTCTTATTTTTATTTTTAGCCCGAAAATTAGTCAAATTTAAGACTTTTAAGCTTTTATTAATTGTGAAACTCTCTAAATTTAATTATAATAAATAAATAATTATAAAATAAGGCATATGGACGAACATTTTGAGATTCAATATGGAGACGCTATTCTCCACCTGCGAACGCCAAGGTCTCCGCTAGATGGCAGTTTTCCTTCTTAAAATTTTTACTGACCCCTGGTGGTGACCTTGGCGTTCTCAAGTGGAGAAATTGAACCACCATTTTATCCCTTTAAAAACTCTTTTATAATTAATAAAATACAGAAAATATTGAAACAGTGATTTAAATTAAAAAAAATATTTTTCTTTTGTTTCAGTTCGGGAGTGTTTAAAATTTTCAAAGTCGCGAGTGTGAGTGCTATTTGGGACCGAAAAATTACAATCAAGAAGGACAACTCCAATATGATCGTGGAATAAATACCGCAAAATGTGAGTTTCTAAAATTTCTTATTGAATTTTTATTTTTATTAGACGATTTTTTTATATAGTCTTTATATTTTTGACTTCTTTCCAAAACATTTTTCTTCGACACTCGGTTAGAAAATTAAAATTTAAAAATTAAATTAACAGATTATTTAATATCAAATAATTAAATTTGTATAATGCTGAAAAAATCTGGAAAGTTTAAGTAAAACGATTTGTTTAAATTAAATAATTGTAAATTACTAACTGCAAGAAAAATAAAAACATACTTTAGACAATTTAAAACTTTATTGATTTTTTTTTTAATTTGATGCAAATATATTCATGTAGTATTCATAATATTTGAAAAGGAAATAAAAAAATTTTGTTTATTTTGACGTTTAAAACTTTGAGATTATTGAATTTATTATTTATTAATTGAATTTATTAAAAATAAATTTAATTGTAAATTGACTTATAATTTTTAAATTTATTGCTTCTAAAATAATATAGTTTATTATTTGATTGAAAAATATATAATTTGGTTATAAAAATTTCATCAATATTCATTTGATTCATTGAAATATTGATAAGAAGCGAGTAATCAATTACTTGAATTAAATACCTCTTCCAAGTTTACATACACTTTTAAATCCTCTACAGTCTTGAGGAGAGAAATTTGTGATTTAATTTGAAGATTGTAAGAAATTTGATAAAGTTTCCAATTCACATTGTCGAGCTGAATTTCACCTCAGAGGTTAGAGACAGGAAACTGTACTTAATCGTTCCAAACATCCTTGGGATTCGGTTCAGGATGACTAGATTAATCCCAGCATTAAATGCTAAAATTCGTAAAGTTAACTTTCTAAGGTCATTAATTTAATTTCAAATTTAAATATTTCGGGTGTTCAATAGTTGGTTCTTTTCTTTTTTTAATGCTTATGAGATATAACAAAATTTATTATTTTGCGATATTTTTTTTTATTAAAAAGAATAGGAATAATTCACTAAAAATTAGTGAATACTAATAAATAAATTTACTAATTTGAATTAATGGCTCAATTTTTGACAATTGATACTATTTTAATATTTTTAATTTCAACATTCAGTTCGGTTATGTAATTAATAATAATAAAAATAATATTTAATTAATTAATACTAAATGCAATAAGTAACTGAAATTTTAATTGTCACTCTGTTCACTTACTCATTTTAGAAGTAAATTTCTTTCCGAGTTTGCTTCTGAATTCCTTCTTTCAAGTAAATAAAAAAGAATCTTCATAAAAATTCTTTTAAGAAATTAATTTTCTAGCTGAATTTCTTCTGCAGTGTATATTTGCCCTTATATTTTAGTTTTTTTTCTATTTTCAGTTAGATGAAACTAATTTTCACAGAAGAGGAGAAGAATTTAAGTTTAAATTTTAATTTTAATAAAGGTCTCTCTCTCTCTCTTTCTCTCTCTTTTTAATTTGAATATACACTTGCTATGTTTTATTTTCAAAAATTCTGCACTTTCAAATGAACGCAAATTTTTGCCGATAGAAATAATTTCAAAATACGAACTACAATTTTTTTAAACTTTTGAATAATTTTACAAAGATTCTACACGTTCAAATAAACGAAATATTTTTTCGTAATTAATAATTTTAAATTATTATAAAATTAGAAAATATAAATGTAATTAAATAAATTTTACGACTCTAATGTAAAATAATTGTAATGTAAAATTATTAGTAATAAAATACTTTAAAGAAATTCTATTATTTTTAAAAATTTTAACAAATATCTCGCCGAGAATTCAATTATCTTTATAAATAGCAAAATTTTTCTCCAAAAAGTCAATTATTTTCAAAAATTTAAATAAAATTCTTTGCAAAATTTCAATTATTTTTAAAAGTTTTTCACAATCATAGTTGCCACAAAATGATAAATATAAAATTCCAGACTTTTTCCAGGATTTTCCAGGTCAATACTTATGAAATTCCAGTCAAAAATTAAAAAAATAATCAAGTCAAAAAAAAAAACAGCCGATAATCAGCAGAAGATGAAAAATTATTTTTAGCGTACTTTATCTTCTTTTTACTAACAATTGTTAGTCATAAAATTTTTTACTGGTCCCAAACTATTGCTAGAACAATTTCAATTAATATCTGGGACATAAAAATTAATTTAATTCACAATTTATAAAAAGTAACCACAGCCGATAATCAGCAGAAGATGGAAAATTATTTTCTGAATTCTCGTAGAATTTTCTAATAAAAATTGATTTAAAAATCAATTTCGTTTAAAATTTTAGATAATAATTTAATAGTAAAAGGGGCCGTACACATAATACGTCACGCGATTTTTGACCATTTTAGACCCCCCCCCCCTCCCCCATGTTACACACTGTCCCATACATTAGCGCCATTTTTTCTATAGGTCGTCACAAATGTCTTGACCCCCCCCCCCTCCCCCTGTTCGCGTGACGTATTATGTGTACGGCCCCAAAGCATTATAGCATGGATTTGTATAAATGGATGGATTTTGAAAAAATTTTAAATTCAAATCTTTGAAAATCTGAATATTTCGTATTGTTATTTAACAATTCTGTACAATTAATTTTTTTCTTAAATGTTTAATTGCATTTTTTTTTTGAAATTATTTGAAGTTTTTATTTTCTAATATATATTTAACTGAAGAATTTTCAAATAATCGAATTTTCGTAAAATTGAATTGTAAACAGATGAAACTGAAAATTCTCAAAAAACTTTTTCAAAAATTATTAAAAATAATTTAGTTAAAGAAGAATTTTAGTCAAAAATTCTAGAAAATAATAATTGAATTTAAACTATTAAAATAATTTCAATGAAGTTAAAGTAACAATATTCTTAAATATTCTCATGGTGAAGAGAGTGTAAAAAAAGGAAGAAATCTTGTGACACATTTAGAAGTAATTAGAAATCAGAGTTGTAATTTTCGTATTTGATGATTTTCATAAATTTTATGAATTTAATAATCGTCATAATACAAAGTTTCTATCGTCTCGCAATAAAATCAGAATTTTACGATTAATATAATGGTAATGTTACTGATAACCATAATTTTAATTACACCAACTATAAAGTTAAACTAAATGTTCTAATTTTCAAATTACAAAAGTGAATTTTAAAGTTTCCAATATATAAACGCATTTAATGTATATGATGGGTAATTATTTTTTAAACGATGAACAAAATTACTCAATCAATTTTGTGCAATATAGCTTTTATTCATTAGACGTTGATCAGAGACTTTTTTATGGGCAATTTAACATAAGCAAGAAATTACTTCGCGCTTGGGTTTTCTCATTACATAGTTGAAAAGCTTTATATGTACCTATCGTTTAGTCGATAGTGATAAATATTCAAAGGCAATTTCTCGTGCATCATCGATCCATTGCAGTTACGATTAGAGATTACAGTTTTAACTCTGAGTTTTTATGAATTGATGAGATTAATACTATGCCATCTGCATACATGATATTATCGAATTTTATCTCTTTGGACATTTTTTTAGTTCGAGTTAAAAATAAAATTAATAAATAACTACAATTTTTTGTTGTTGTTGTACACTCTCTGTTTTAGTCAAAAAATTTGTTTTTAGTTTTGAGAAATGTTTTTCCTTTTGTAACTAAAGTTAAAGTAACTAAAAGTTAAAGTAACTAAAAGTTAAAGTAACTAAAGTTAAAGTAATTAAAGTTAAAGTAACTAAAAGCTAAAAATACTAAAAGTTAAAGGACCTGAAAGTTACTGGAACTAAAACTAAAAAAGCATTATGCCCTTTTTAAAAAAATATAAAAAAGTGTATTTTTGAGATAATTTCACTCCCCCTAGTGCATTGGATAAGTTTATAGGGAGTTTTACATTTGTAACATTACAACAATGTGTGAAATACTAAACTTGAATTATAAAGTGTCGAGTGTGAAATTTAAAATTCTTTTGTCTCGTACGTACCTTTGATGTATCCCGCGTTGAGTTGAAAGTACACAGAATTTTATGATACACGTATTTTATAAACATTGTTTTTGCAACATGATGTACGTTAAAATTTAGTCGTGAATAGTAAATGAGGAGCGTTTGAGTACTTTCTTTTTCACAAATATAATATGATTTTTAATATTTTTAATTGAAATTGAATTTTAATTCTTTTTTTGCAATTTTAATTATTTCATAACAATTTTTATTCGATTCTCAAAAGAAAGAATTGTACGAAACTCAAAATTTCATTTTCGATGAATTAGTTCGACATCATCAGCATCATCAGGTCACTTTAATAAACAAATTCAAAATACAAAAGTCATATAAAATTATTTAACAAAAATATTATATGTAGAGTAGAGGGCCCCAAGGTGTCCAAGCTACAATGCGTTTTTAGGAAAAATCACTTTTGAATTTTTTTACGATGTAATATTTATCAAAATATATTATGGAAAATGTAAATTTTTATCGATTTGAAAAATTGTATGATGAATAATGAAATAATTTAGTTTTTAATGTATAAAATAGTATTAATAACTGGAAATATAATAATTCTGTTATTTTTATTCTTCATGGCAGTCATTCTTAGTGGCGTTCTGGTTATTTGTAAAAATGAAAAAAATACTAATCAATATTTTTTCATTGATTAATTCAATGTACATGAAGCGTGGACATTCCTGCTGCCATGTGTCACGAGATATTGTTTACAGAATGCGTACAGCGGTGGGTGGGTGAAATTCCTTCATATTTACCCCACATGTTGGTGGCACTGTAGGCAACTCACAGACTACTAGACTATATTTTCAATTGATTCGGTCACATGGCAGAAACTAAGTCAGAATTTCTTAGGTCCATGAAGTTTGATTTGAAGACTTTGAGCGCCAAAGTAAGAATTTTCATTATGTGGGTGATATTCCACAAAGTGGGCAAATTTAAAAAAAATTTTTTTTTTAATTTTTTATGTAGATCTTTTTTTAAATCTTTTTAATAATTAAAAAAACTTTTTTTAATTCTGATTTAATAAATAAA